AATGCTTAACCTATGACAATGAAACAGCCAGCAATTAAGAGTGGAAAAAACTGACAAAGCCGAAAAGCAAAAACATAATTAAAATAAAAATAATAATATTTAACAGACACACTCGTACGCACCATATGAGTGCTGGCGCGAATGAAGACCCAAAAGCAGCCATAAAAACAAAAACAAAACAAAAAAAACAACAAATCTTTTGTACCCCAGACGGAACGTGCACTAAAATATCAACTACACGGAGTGCATGCCGCAAAAGACAGTAACAAAAACAGGGCTTAGTAGCGGGCTTAGGAGGGAGGCGGGGGGTGGGAGGGGGAGTGGCACTCGATAAGGTCTGTCAAGTAGTGACCTCACACGATGTGGACCAATGAACGCCGTGAAATCTTGCATGTGCGAGGCAACCACAGCAAAAACAGCAGAGATCTCTCTCGAGTACGGAGTAGTATTCGTCATGTACGTCCCATATCCCATGCCCATGCCCAAGCCCATGCCCATGTCCACATCTTACGGATTATGCTCTCTTCAGGCCATCCGACTGTCTAGGCCGCTTGTTTCTTTATTTTTTTTTTTGCGAAATTTCTGCGCGCCCCATAAAACGCTCTTTGTTAATATCCATCCGTACTTCGGATGACTAATTCCCTTGCTTTTTCAATGCCTCGTGTCTATGGCTCCCGTTTTGGGCCAATTGCCTCAAGTGCTTGCGACGACACATAAAAACAAAAACAAAATAACAAAAAAACCCAAATTGATTTCGATTTCATCTGGGGTTATACTCTGGCTCTGGCTCTGGGATCGCATCATGTTTTTGAGCCGCATTGCATGGTGGATGGGATTCGACTTTGTAAGGAGTGGAATTTGGAGCCTAAAAGCAGGTTCAAGATTCTATTCTTTACTTCTTTATTTTTAACAACCTTTTGGTGGATCGACGAGTGTGCAACCAATTTTAGGCTCTCGACAAGAGAGCTTCTTTTAAAAAAGAAATCATTAGAATACTTGTCAGTTCCCAATAATGCAAGTCTGTAGCTACTATATTTATAACAATAGTAAATTGTCCTTTAAGAATGAGCCTACTTTTTTTAACAAAATGAAATACATATGTGGTTCTACTGCAATGATGAATGAAGAGGAAATTCTTAAATATCACTATCCTTTATCATGAGAGCTTTGCTGCTTTGTCTAAGATCAAATGTTTAATAAATTGTAGATGGGGATTAGCTTAAGATTTAAGATAAATATCAAGGTGAATACACGGTTATCAAAAAGTGGAATATTTGATTAGAAAAAACAATAGACTTGATTTTACTGAAAACTAATTTTAATAAGGAATAATATATTTTACTTTTTGCTAGAAATTGGAAGTGGTGACGCATTAAGATCACTGAAAATAGTGGTCCGATAATCCTAGAGACTTAGACCGATTTTGCCGTTCCCTCTAGACCTGCCCGCACTTTCCGGCCTATCCGCTTTCCCTTCTTTAAATCAAACTTGATCTTTGGATTGAAAAACAATCAATAGTTCAAATATTAAAACTCCTTTCTTATTTACTCTGCTATATTTCCTTTAGTTGTTAATATTTTAATATGTATGTATATGTCTATGGAACAAATAAATAATTATTAACCAGATCGTTTGAGGCGTTGGCCTCCAGGGCAAGCTAATTTATGCTCTGGGAAGGGTATCAAACCCCTAGCTCGGTCCCCTTGTACATTTTTTATAGCCCGCTCGTGTAATTGAAATGTTAGGGGCCGAGTGAGTGCCACAGACTCGGACGCGACTTTTAAGAGACTCAATAAAGTGACAACAAAAACAGCGGCAACAATAACAAAATAAATAAATGAAAAGTAATATCTTTGTCTTATGCGTTTTTCGCTTTCTGCCGAAATTCAGAGGCAAAGGTGAGGCCAAGTCTGGGGCGAGGCGGTGTCTGAGAGTCCAAGTCTGAGGCGGAGAGGACCGACGACCGACGACCGACGACCTGCTAATGTGCGAGCTTCACCTAATGGGGAGATGTCTGTGCCTCCGGGCAATCAACATTGCCTCAAACTTTGCCACAATGTATCTAATGGATGTGGCAACCGATAGTGGTGCTGGTGGTGCTGCTGCTGTGGCAACAATCTGGTGGCTGGCTATTGATTTTGCAAGATTTGCAAGGCCTGGCCATTATTTTTGTTGGTTTCTTTGCGCAAGTGGCCTAAATGAACGGAGAGAAAATGGAGCGTACTTACCTTTCGGGTGCGAATCAGCTTGGCCAGATCGACGGCAGGTATCTCCAGCAGGTGGCTGCGTATCGGAGGCAGCTTGCGCCGTATCACCTTGATGTTGGTGTACCGGCTGTAGGGCACCACGAACCAACTGAAGACAATCATGGCCGAGCGGAGGAACCGGCGCATGATGTACCCCAGGATCCTGGAACAAAGTAGCACAGCAATTTTGACGGCTTTGCGGTTAACACTGAGGGAAGAAAGAGAGCGCCCACTGTATCTCGCAGATATATGGCGCTGAACTGCACTGCACTGCACTCCACTGCACGGCTCTGGGGCGGCTCTGCACAGAGACAGACAGGCCAGTGTCTGAACAGGTTGGCAGGATTGTGCAATATTGCAGCTGACTGCAATTGACGGCAAAAGAGCCAGCAGAGACGAAGGCAACTGCTGCTGCTGCTGCTGCTGCTGCTGCTACTGCTGCTGTTTGTGATATTTATTTTCGCTTGCACAATTCACTTGAACGACAACGAACACTGGCTGAGGGGATCTGTGTGCGATGCCTTTTTGGTCAGTTGGCTAATACGTTGCGTTACTTTCTTGGGCCCCCGACTTTATCAGCTATATAGGAAAACTAGTTTTGCCTAGCCAAAGTATCTCTGGGATGCACTCGCATATGATTCGACTGGCGCTGCACACGCATGCGCAACGTTTCTCCGGCTTTCATTTTGGTTACACTTTAGCTATGTGTGTGTGTGTCTTATCACATTCCAGGCTTCTTTCGGGGCTCCTATCAAAGTCGGGTTTTCTATCTGGATCTGACCCCGAGCTCGGATGAGTCCGCTGGAGGTGGGCAAGCGAACCGAGCTGAAGCGAACTGAAGCGAACTGAAACGAACTGAACCGACGCGAACCGACGCGAACGAGACGAGCAAAGCAAATAACGTGGGGGCTAGCACGCCCCAAGGTATTTAAAGCGCTGCTTGCTAGAGAGAGAGTGCTGCTTGAAGCTCGCTCTCCCTCTGTGGGTCTCTCTCTCTCTCTGTGTGGTTCTCTCTTCGGCGCTGTTAAGCTTCTGTAGGCCCCCAAGGAAACGGATTGGCTCTGACTAAGCATCAGATACAAGTGCGTCAATGCCACCGTTTGCCACCGCGGATTACCATCCCTGCAATTATTAACATGCCCTGACCCGATGAACCCCCCATTACCAGAGATCGGAATTGGAATGGCTTTCAGTTGTAAACAATAGGGAGGACCCGTATGGCTAATTACACACACAAGTCTGCTCTCTGTTTGCTTTTTCTTTGGAGAGCACTTACTGTAATGTTATGCATGCTGACCCCTAGTTACAGCCCGGCCTGAGATCATCGGCATTCAAACAAAGGAACACTGCGGCGTCATCCGGTGTATAAATATTGATTCGAGAAGAGCTTTCCGGGGGAAAACCCTGCTGCAGTCTATTTAGAAAAGTGTGAAAACAATATTTCACAAGAACTCAAACTCGAAACTCGAACCCTGAACCCATTTAGTATCACGCTCCCTTCATAAATAAATGGGTTGGATACGAATCCGACGCTAGTAGAGCCCGTGTCAATGAATCAGTTCGATTCTGCCCCATTCATAGCTATCACTGCACGCGTACGAGAGTACTTACTGGTCACATGTTTGTGTCCAATCAATCAGTCCCTTAATTAATAATCATTAAGAAATCGAAGCTAATATATCGCACGTCAATACATCCGTTTGATGTTCCCTAATGATTACAAAAATATGGGCTACCCCCGAACAGCTCCGCGATAGATCTGCTATTTATTGTAGATAATAACCTGCACACATAGATTACAGTGATAGATTGAGTGTTGTTGAATCAGTTTAGATACTAGCATTCAGCTCTATAGATTCCAATCGGGTAAAGTAATCATAGATCTACGTCAGCGGTTGGTGAAAAAGAGAATCCCCGAGAATGCAAAAGCAAAACACACTTTAGGTTGGATCAACCGTATGTCTTTCTGTAAGCAAGTATGATTTATACTTTAGGGGCATGTTATAAGGAGCTTGAGTGTCGGGTGTAAATGAAGACTTGCGCAGGAAGGGCCCTAATACCTAATTCAGATCCTGAATACAGATCAATACAGCACGTGGCGATGAATCAATCCAATTTGGATCACTAACGATTTGTTTACAGAGCATGCGATGACCTCAAGGGTCTGCGTGAGGGCCCACTGATTCGTCTGACACTTATGGTGAGCATTCAGCCGTAAGTTACTTATCTACGACAATAAAATTGCTTTTTAATTGTGCGAGCCATTAGAAAATAATTGCAGCATATTAGGGACTGGCCGTACATTTTTCAAGAACAACAGAACACAAATATATACTCTTAAATGTTAGCAACCAAACTAATCATTTAGATGGCCGAATACTTGGTCTCGGATCACGCCATCCAAGATGTCAGCTAGGTGGCATAATTACAGAGAACGAATCAGAACGATAATAACCTGGCAGCGACGGAGAGCAATAAAAGATCTCATGCTCTGCTGTAATGATATGGCATCTGGGCTTATTAAACTCCGATTGTGCTGTGGTTCCCCACACGACGCGAGGGACGAGTTTTACAGTCATGATTTGAAAGGATTCGGACTCGCGAGTGGGAATTCCCAAGGTGAAACGTAAATCGAGTAATATTGGTGGGGGGAGGCCATGCTCTTCTCTTAACCTGCTTATGACAGTTGAGTTATCTTGCTCTCTCTTTTCAGTACGCGCTGTCTCTTAAGAGTGCGCTATAAAAGATAACAGAAAGATAGAGACAGAGAGAGAGAGAGAGGGAGAGCTCCAAAAAGCTTCCGCTTGGGGGCCTTTTGCCAGTGACGATAAATGTGTTCGCGGATCAAGTTGGATCGCAAAACTTTCCATCGCCGGAGCATACATACTCGCAGATAGCCACTAGATAAGTTGGCAGCCGGCTCCCCAATGTTGTCACAGCGACTCCATCCGCTACTCTGTCGTGGCTTTGTTAATTACAGAGTTTGTCAGAGCTTGAGAAACTTTGCAGCCGACGCCGGCGAGAACAATAACAGAGATAATGCTACTGCGGACGAGCGTCATCATCCGCTGAAGGGCGTGCGCATTTTGGACTTGACCCGCATCATTGCCGGCCCCTACTGCACCATGGTGCTGGCCGATCTGGGGGCAGAGGTCATCAAGGTGGAGCGTCCGCATTTTGGCGATGAGGCCAGAAAGTGGGGACCTCCGTTCCTGGAGCATAGCAAGGATGCCGCTTACTTCCTCGCCCAAAACAGGAACAAGCAGAGCGTGTGCATTGATCTGAAGCGTGGCCGGGCACTGCTCCACAAGCTGGCCGAGATCAGTGATGTCCTGGTGGAGAACTATGTCCCAGGCACCCTCGATCGCTACGATCTGGGCTACGAGCAAATGAAGAAGGTCAATCCCAAGCTGATTTACTGCACTCTCAGTGGCTACGGATCGGTGGGGCCATATGCCAAACGTCCGGGCTACGACGTGATTGCTTCCTCCGTGGGCGGCTTGCTCCACATCACTGGGGAAAAGGAGGGGCCGCCCAGCAAGGTGGGTGTGGCCGTCACGGACGTGGCCACCGGGCTGTATGCCCATGGAGCGATCCTGGCAGCCCTCTATCAACGTGAGAAGACACAGCGTGGCCAGAAGATCGACGTGGATTTGCTCTCCACCTGCTGCTCCCTGCTGATAAATGTCGGCAGCAACTATCTGAACGCGGGCACCGAGGCCCGGCGATGGGGCACAGCCCATTCCAGCATTGTGCCCTACCAGAGCTTCAAGACCAAAGATGGCTATCTTACTCTGGGGGCCGGCAGCGATGCCCAGTTCGTGGAACTGTGTCGTCTGCTGGCGGTCGAGCCGGTGGCGGAGGATCCCAAATTCAAGACAAACAAAGACCGAGTCCAAAATCGCGAGGAGTTGGTGCAACTGCTTGAGCAGATTCTGGCGCAGGATAGCTCCAAGAACTGGATGAAGCGCTTCGAAGGTGCACCGTTCCCGGTGGGTCCGGTGAATAGCATTAGCGAAGTGTTCGAGGACGAACATATCCAAGCCATTGGTCTGGTAAAGACTCTGCCGCATACTCGCGATGGATCCGTCAAGGTGGTCGGACCGCCTGTGGTTTACAGCGAGGCACGCAACGACGCCCGCACGGCGCCACCCATGCTGGGCGAGCACACGGATGCCGTGCTGAGCGACCTGCTCGGCTACGGGCCTGAGGAGCTCGCCTCGCTGAGGGATCAGGGGATTATCCAGTAACCCTTGCCATGTAAATCCTATCTGCTATCCTATACGCATGTTCTGAAACTATAAATCTAATCGCAAGTGTCGAAGGCATTTAGTAAAATAAATGGGCACGTCGTCTTCCTTGTCTCCATCTTTCATTATGCCGGTAAGAAGAGTTTCCTGTCACTGCCACTGCCAGGCCTGATCCTCGAATCCTCCTCCCATCTATATATGTTCTGTAGTTCTCGACGGAACATGTGCCATGGAGCCAGCGCACGAAACGGCAGAAGGCGATCATTGTGCTGTTCTACGCTCTGATGCTGACCCTTATCATCAATATCGTGGGCTGCATCGCCTTTTATTGCGTGTTCAAGCACAACGAGAAGTACTCTATGAAAATGGCCGAAGCAAAGCAGGCCAAGGACAAGCCTGAGGAAGCCCTGCAGAGGATGTCGAGCACGAGTTCTCTTACCTGAACCTGAGAATGTCCAGCTGCAGGCTCACATATGCAAATATCGATTTTAGCAACTTCGTCACTGCGTGGCGACAGGGCAAATGAAAAGGAAAATGGGAAAAAATGAGCAAAATAAAGAGCACAGGGATGGTAATCACGGGAGAGACTCACTTTTAAATCAACTACAAATACCACCTATTCGAATAGATTCCCTGGAACTAATGGTTAGTTATTGCACTTTGTGTAGACCGAGATCGTCCGCTCACGACAGCGACAGAAAATGATTTGTTTTTGTTTGTCAGTGGAAAACGCTGCTGCCAAAAACTAACAATGTTCGCCGCGCTGCCTGCGCCGGTGTGTGGGTTGGGGTCGCCGTCGCCGTCCCCCCGTCAATGGCATATTGCGGCTTGTGTTGGCTTTTGGGCTGTGGGCAAAGTGCACCCCTGGGTGGAGCTTCAAAGCGCTGATCGCGTCGTGAGTTTGGATTTCACACTTATTGTAAACCGCAAGATTCTCTCCACTAGCCCCACCTCACCCCACAAATAAATTAACAGTTATTCAAAAGTTATTCTACTGCGGGAGCAGTGTGACCAGTTAAGGTCTCAAGAGCGCTTGTATTTGTTTTCATTTAAATTATATTATATTCAAAAGCTTTACAGCTCGTGTGAGAACCTTTTCTATGGTGTCATAGATCACAATTCAATTCAATGGATAAATTTGGGCGGAAAAATTTCAAAAAAGTCAACAGCTGAACCAGCCAGCACTGCAAACTCTTGCTATCGATTAGCTTTGGTATTTTTGACAGATACAAAATATCAAATCAGTATTTTTCCCAACGGCAGCCACACTGTAAATGTCTTGTTTTTGTTAAATAATAATTTTTTGCGTCAAATTTTACAGAAATTATGCCCAAGCAACCGTCGTTTGTGTCGCGCAACCTGGTTACCATTGTGATGGTGCCTAGCCTGATTGGCATTCATCTCGGCTGGGGCTATATGCAGAATAACCGCAAACTGGTCACAGAGTCGGAGCAAATCGACCTCCCGCCGGTCACGGTGAGTGGTGGTGGTGTCCCCCCATCAATAATAGCTAATCATTAAGCTATCCTTCCTTTAGTTCGCCAGATTCGTTTGGAACAAGATTGCAGGTGGCGGAGACCAGACTACGGCGGAGACGCAGCAGAGCAGCAGCGCGAAATGAGACAATAAGAGGGGGGTGAGATGGCTGTGGATCTTAAAACATACAATCTATTTATTGTATATAATTAATTAAAACTACACACGAACGGTATGATACAATGAACTGCTGCTGGCCACAAAAGTGGCCAATATCGGAAGAAAAAAACAGAATGTGACGTTAAATAAAGGGTTTCTATCGAACTTTGTTTCCTAACCTATTGGCGATTGCAACTGAGATTAAGGTTACTACTGCGTTACGGCCGAGTTGACAGTGAGGTTGTCCAGCTGGGCATTAAAGAGCACGTCGCTTATGAGCTTCTCCGCAATGATGCGCTGGGTGGGATTGACGGCTCGCAGTTTGCTGGCCACATTCACACCGATAGCATCGTATTCGTCATGCGGCGGGGGTTGCGGTGCGGTTGTGTACGCTGTGGTGTTTGCATTGCTAAACAGAGGCTGATAGTGTTCGCGTCCGATCTGTATGGTCGGCACAGCCTGGCCGTGACCATTGGCCTGCTGGAGATGCATTTGCTGCTGGTGTTGTTCCAGGGAGTTGACGGCCTGTTTGATACGGAAAACATACATGAAATGGTACTAAGGGAATCAATGGTAACCGCTTACCTGTTGTATCTCCCGCTGGCTGTTTGAATCTAGTGATGTGATCTCCAGCACTTTGACAGCATGCCCTTGGGATGCCGCAGCAGCTATGGAATTTTGGGCCGCCGCATGTGCTACTAATTGCTGGTGTGCCTGGACGGCAGCCGCATCATGTTGATGCTGTTCGCTCTTCACGAGAGCCACACAATCCGCTGGCGTCACGGATAGTGTACTTAGGGTGGCGCCTTCACTACTGACCACCACATTGTTGGTGGCAGGCACCTCTTCCACTTCGTCGGAGGATGTGGGCCCTAAATTATCCATCTGCTGTGAATGTGAGGTTGTGTGATGTGACTCGTCCTCATACTCCATGGAATCCTCATCGTCGAAGCTAATGTGCAATTCCCGCTTCGGTTTGGTGCCCGACTCATGCCGCTTTGGCTTGTGGTCGGCGATGAAGAGCAGCCTGTCGTAGTACCACAACCGTGTCTCATAGTCGCTCTTGCAAGTCGTCTTCCGATACTCTCTCCGAAATGCCGAGCGAAGTGAGTTGATTTTTCTGCAACCAATAACAAAAAGAGCATTAGATCGCATTGCGAAACTGGTGGGCATAGTATAACCAATGCACCTTACGACCATGGGTCGGTCGGGATTCGGTTCGACTTCTTTCAGCTTCTCCACGAGCCTGTCGTAGGACTTGTTCCGAGCGGCATGGTTGCTGTAGTCGTTGTGCTTCGGCTGCCACAGGCACTCCTCCTCCTGGTACTGCTCTATGAACTCCGTGAGCCAGTGTCGCGAGTATGACCGCAAGTCAACGTTCATCTTTTTATTGAGCAAAATTTTGATTTTTTTACTGTACTCTGTTTTGTTTTCAGTGCGTCTCGCGTAAAGTTGGCTGCAAACCAGAAAAACCGTGCTACCACACGCAGAGTTTTCGCCGCGGTGGCAGCGCTATGCACCGCCAAATACCAGCTGGATTCGAAAAAAGTCAATAACGGAAAAAATATACAATTAGACATAAAGCGGAGAAAAAGAAAGAAAAAAATAAAAGGAAATCGATAAAGAATGGTCAATTCTGTTTAGAAAAGAACAGCCCTCCTTATTTACACCGTCCAACAAGCCGAATTCAAATGTTTATACTGGGTTTGATTGTAATTTCCAAAAAAATCAGCGAACCGAGCTCCGTTACCGATCTTTTTTACTTTTTCGTGACCTTTTTCGTTCAAGTCTTGCTTGACACTCATTCAAGTTGAAAGTGAACCTTGAAATTAGCCAATCTTATAGAAAATTAATTCATCAATTGGATAAAATTATGAATTGAGAGCTGGGGGTTCTAGCTAGCTGGTGATATTAAGTCGAATATACAAAACGAGGAATGTGATGGAGCTTGAATACAAATAATTCGTCAGTATATTTACGGTATACTTTGAAGCCGTGACATATATTTCGGTATATTCCTGAGGGTCAGACCGTATATTTGATCGATCCGCGGTCACACTGCCTGTCACATAATAACTGTTCCCGCACTTGCTTGCGTTTTTTAATTTGATTGATTCTCGAGCTGGTTGAAAATGATATCTCACGCTGTACGAGGGCGGCACCTAATGCGGGCCCTGTCCACGACAATTGCATGGACCCGCCCGGGACAAAGTGCCTTGACTAGACACTTTAGCGAGAAGATTACGCGCCTGCAGAGATTCAATGGCGCGACAATGGTGATGGCTCAACGCTTCTACAGTCGCAAACGCGATTATCCCGATTACAAGAAAGCTCAAGCGGTAACAGAATTGCTGTCCGACCAAAATTCTAACCTGCCTGCCACAGTGGCCGTGCCCGACGTATGGCCACATGTTCCGCTGCTAGCCATGCGTAAGAATCCCTTGTTTCCGCGATTCATGAAGATTGTGGAGGTGAGTGCATATGCAAATGGAACAGATGTCCAATTCCAGTGGCCTACATCACGACTCAACTCATCTTTAAGGTATCCAACCCAATTGTTATAAATCTGCTGCGTCGCAAAGTTAGCCTTCATCAGCCCTACGTTGGGGTTTTCCTCAAGAAAGTCGACGGGGAAGAGGAGGTCGTCCAGAGTCTGGATGAAGTCCATCACCTGGGCACTTTTGCACAGATCCAAGAGGTTCAGGATTTGGGCGACAAGATGCGCATGGTGGTGGTGGCCCATCGTCGCATACGCATCACAGGACAGGTGATCGAGGATCTACCACCTCCAAAAAAGCCAGGTAAGCACCTACAGACACACACTAGCCGGTACAAATTGTGACAAATGTTCTTGATTTAAGTGAAAACGACAACCATCAACGAATCATCGATATCGACAAGGCCACTGTCGTCAAGAGAACGCCGCAAAGCACGACGCGCGATTTGGCAGAAATTACAAGAGTCTGCAGCTTCCGCTGACGCTGACAGTGAATTTGATTTGGAAGAGCATTCGCATATTTCAGAAAAATTTAAAGCTGCATCCAAAGCCGCAATCGAAGCGGAAGAGAGTACATCAGCTATCCCCGTTGCAGAGTCTGCTGCACCAGCTGCATCACCGCCCGTGCTCATTGTAGAGGTTGAGAATGTGAAGCTACCAGTTTACAAACAAACCCCAGTGGTCAAGGCGCTAACACAAGAGATTATCAAGACTCTACGCGACATTATCACCATGAGTCCCCTGTATAGGTAAGCTATTCAATCCCACAAGAAGCTTTCTGCTTAACTCTCATTCCCTTAGGGAGAGTCTCCATCAAATGCTGCATCAGAATCAACGAGTTGTGGACAACCCCATCTACCTATGCGACTTGGGTGCCTCCCTGTCGACCGGAGACCCAGAGGAGCTGCAAAATATCCTGGAGGAAGAAGATGTACATATGTGGCATTCCTTGAGTCTACAGATTTCTCCTTTATGATAACACATTTTTCTTTTAAAGATCCCAAAACGTCTGCAGCTGTCCCTCACATTACTCAAAAAAGAGCAGGAGCTATCGAGACTGCAGGCGAAAATAGGACGCGAGGTAGAGGAAAAAGTCAAGCAGCAGCACCGAAAATACATACTGCACGAACAGTTGAAGGTTATCAAAAAGGAGCTGGGCATTGAAAAAGACGACAAGGATGCCATCGGTGAAAATTATATGGAAATGCTCCAGGACAAAATCGTTCCAGAAAATATTCAGCAGGTCATCGCCGAGGAACTGACCAAACTGAACTTCCTGGAGAGTCATAGCGCTGAATTTAAGTAAGCAAGAGATCGATCCATTAAGAGAGCTCCTTAACATCATCCTAATGTATCCTTCTCTTGTTGATTACAGTGTAACCCGCAACTACCTCGACTGGCTCACCTCGCTACCCTGGGGCGTCATGAGCACTGAGAATCTCTGCCTGGACAAAGCCAACGAGATCCTAAACTATGATCACTACGGCATGGAGGATATCAAGAAGCGCATCCTAGAGTTTATCGCCGTCAGTGCTCTGAATGGCACCACGCAGGGCAAGATCTTGTGCTTCCATGGACCGCCTGGTGTAGGCAAGACGAGCATAGCCAAGTCCATTGCTCGGGCCCTGAATCGCGAGTACTTCCGCTTTAGTGTGGGCGGCATGACGGATGTGGCTGAGATCAAGGGACATCGTCGCACCTACGTGGGCGCAATGCCCGGCAAGCTGATACAGTGCTTGAAAAAAACCAAGACTGAGAATCCTCTAGTGCTCATTGATGAGGTGGACAAGATTGGCAAGTGGGTGTCACGAATACTTGATTCGATTTCGAGGCGAAATATACTCGTAATCTCCCTATCCACAGGGGCTATCAGGGAGATCCCAGCTCGGCGCTGTTAGAGCTACTCGATCCCGAGCAGAATGCCAATTTCCTGGACCACTATCTGGACGTACCAATCGATCTGTCTCGTGTGCTATTCATTTGCACGGCCAACGTGATTGATACCATACCAGAGCCGCTGAGAGATCGCATGGAGCTGATTCAGATGTCCGGCTATGTGGCCGAGGAGAAGGTGGCCATTGCCCGCCAGTATCTAATACCGAAGTCGATGAACGACTGTGGCCTGACCGACGAGCATATCAGCATAACCGAGAAAGCCCTGAATATGCTGATACGCAACTATTGCCGCGAGTCCGGAGTGCGCAACTTGCAGAAACAGATCGAGAAGGTTATGCGCAAGGTGGCCTTCCTTTTGGTCAAGAAAGAGGGCACCAGCTTCCCAGTGGATGCCGAAAATCTGACCACATTCCTGGGCAAGCAGATCTTTACCTCGGATCGCATGTACGAGACGACGCCGCCGGGCGTGGTCATGGGCCTGGCCTGGACGGCCATGGGTGGCTCATCGCTGTACATTGAGACATCGGAGCGGAACAGATATAAAAGCCTGGGCCCCAAATCAGAAGACAGTGGTGTAAGCGGAGGTGGCACTTTGTATATCACCGGAAACCTTGGAGATGTGATGAAGGAATCGGGCCAAATAGCCCTGAGCGTGGCGCGAAACTTTATTCACATTCGAGATCCTGGCAATCAGTACCTAGAACTTGCGTAAGAGTCTCCGAAAAAGCTACTCGTTGGAGTTTCTTATCCTGTTTGCCTTTTTCCCATTATAGAAACATCCACCTTCATGTTCCTGAGGGGGCCGTACCAAAGGATGGACCCAGTGCCGGCGTCACCATAATCACCGCCCTAATTTCGTTGGCCACCAACAAGCCTGTGCGTAATGATGTGGCCATGACGGGCGAGATATCGCTGAAGGGCAAAGTTCTGCCCGTAGGAGGCATCAAGGAGAAGGCCATAGCCGTAAGCAGATGTGTGTCCATTGTGAATGAAGCTTTATTTGATATGCTATTTCCACTATCAGGCACGTCGCAGTGGCGTCCACTGTCTCATCCTGCCCGCGGACAACAAGAAGGACTTCGAGGAATTGCCCAAGTTCATAACCGAAGGCCTGGATGTTCACTTTGCGGCCAACTACGAGGATGTCTACAACATTGCATTTTCCGAACCCACCAAAAACGAGGCCGAGGCCCAAGTATTGCCAGCGTCGGATCAGGAGCCCGAGCTCGAGGTGTCCAGCGTAGACTGCGCGGCCGGCGCAATGCCATTCAGGCCTTAATCCTAGTCTTAGCTTAGGGGTTGGGGGTTGCATCGATGTATTCACATCGGTATCATTTTAATTAGTTTATGTAGACAATACAAAAGCATTTGCTAAACCTAAGCTAATGTACCTAAATCGATATCAGTATTATTTTCCGCGGTTCAGTTCATATACTGCTTAAATAAATGGGGCCTAAGTGGCCTAAGTTTCAAATTAAAATTTATATTTCGTTATATTTCTGAGGGCAGGACAGAATATTTTGTCGACTAATTCGCAGTCACACTGATTTTTTTGCCACCATGCCTAGCTCACACACCTTGCGATTTTTATACTTTTCATATTATTTTTAAGACTTGCTAATGAACCAATGTATAAATCGTGTAGAAGAGCCATTTAGAGCCATGTCCCCGGCCACATCGAGCACAAATTGCTGCTCAGCATTAAATTCCCGATTGCTTTCCATCAAAATTTTTCCAAAAATGTCGTAAAAAGGCATGTCAAAAAGTGCATAATTCCATGGTAATTACACAAAAATGTAGTTAATATGTGTAGTTGGCGTGTACGGTATATTTTTAAAATGAGACGGTATATTTTGGTATACTTCTTAGGTATTTTAACCATTAAGCAGTCACAGTTGCTTCAAGTCGCGCCGAAAATGATTGTTGTTAATGTTTTTTAATCATTTCTTAATGATTTCGACTGTGGAAATTGTGAAATAAATGAATCCATTCAGTTGGCTAGAACGAAACCTATGAGCTAGACGAGTGCCAGTGCAAAGTGGAAGCCGAAACTTCGGTTTCGCGGAGATTATCGGCAGGAATAAATCTGTGCTAATAACAAAAACAAAAGGTGCTTTGTGCCTTAAGAGCTTTTCAACATAATTTTTATTGTTGTTTTCGTTTTTCCTAATTATATAATGTATATTGTGTTTGAGTGCGTGTCTGTGTGTGTCTGCGAGAGTGTTTTGTGGAGCAATAAATTGGAGTAAACAAGGCCCTTCTGATATGATAAGTAAAAGCTTAGCTAAGATAGTTCATTGGAGAAGCATGTTAAGAGTAGGTGGATAAATAAGATCCACTTGTCTCTGCGTCAGACAAAGAAAATGATTTCCAACAGCAACAACAACAGCAACGATAATCGTAAAACAGCTGTTCTCGTGGCTCTCATTCCAATCCAATCAGAATGAAGTCACGTAGCTCTTTCCAGACGTAAACAACAAAAAAAGCGCAACGAACTGCATTCTTTTCCGAGTAAACGCATGCTTTAAGTAATTGAATCTGCATACTATAACCATATGGCTTGTAGTATCAGCACTTGTAATTTGTTGTTGTTTTGATTGATTCAATTCCACTTGCTCACTGGCTTTCCACTGCCGGGTACAAAGTCCAGTATAAATATGACTTCTCCAGCTTCCCCCCCTTATCGCTGGCGTTTGAGTGTGTCTATTTATGGACCGGCCTGTGGGTTCTCACTCTCACAAACAAATTTCAATGCCAGCATCAGAACTAGAATCATAAAGAGCAACGTTTTCACGTTCTCCCCTGGGTCAACTGGATACTGGATCAACAGGCCTCCCCGCGAATAGCCTTGACTCAAGTGCAAAACAACAAACCATTTGCTAACGAACTTGTTTGCATTCATTGAGCGGTGTGCTGCTCCGGCAGCAGTAGCATCCATTCCCCCCTTGCAGTGCACTCTGGGATGAGAGCTATTTACGTGGCGTGAAATGAGAAGAATGTGGTCATGGTATATTAAAAGGAAGATAAGGCAGTTCCACTCTTTCCTGGGTACTGGATGCTGCATACCTTCTATTTAATATAACTTGCTATCTATCTATATATCTTCTCTGCCTCTGGTACACAATCACGTTCAAGGCCAGCGTTATGCGAATCTTGCGAAAGTATTTCTATAATATAGATGATGCGCACTCTCTTTGAAAGCTTTCCTGCACCGATCCGTTAATGAAATGCGTTAATTTTAGCCCCTGCCCACTTGGAACCGTGCCCACCCGAATCCCCCAAGCATCCCCACAATGATTCTCCCCACACGTGCGGCCACACATACAATAACTAAATTTGAGGACCGCGCTTTTCAGCATGATAATTGTTTTGGGAGGTGTGTGTGCCACCGAAAGGCCGGGCTCCGGCTCTCTGATAATCTGTTTTTGCTGTTTGGCTGTTTGCTTTTTTATAATACTAGCAGCGCCAACTGGTTTTGCGGTTTGTTTTGCATTTTGTGCGAACAAACAACAAGACCCCTCCTATCTATTGTAAGACGCAATTAGCGCATACATAGCGAATCTTATCAGGTGCTGCTGATTAATCAGAGAAATTCTAATCTCTGACCAAGTTTCGGGGTTTCAGTGGCAAATACGCACCGGGGGCCCAAAGCAAAGTTCAATTGGGAATGCTGCCAACTAACCCAGAGAGCAGATAACATAGCAGTCCACCTTCTTCAACTTGGCCAAGACCTGGGTCTAAAGACATTATGTATGTTTTTGGACCCATGCCAAAGAAGAAATCACTTGCTTCGCTTCAATTACGAAACAATTGTGACAGATAGAAATTTGCATAGACTTGTGAGAGAGCGTTATTTTCTTATCATCTAAAATAAATCTCACACATCAGTGTGTACAGTGAAGGCTCTCAGTGGAGAAACATACCGTATCCATAAACATACCGAATCGATTCGGTGGGATTCGGTAAATGTCGAGTGCATGACGAGGCAGATTAATGCTAAAATGTATAACTGAATAGTAAATATGTATTTGAATAATTAAATACTCAAGCCCACAACTGGTTCCTCCTTACCAATGTGCATGAATCGAAATGTTCGCCCTTTCGGGAGTGTACTGTGTGTCCATATGTAGCTTTGTTATATGACGACCTATTTCTATCTATGGGTTTATGAAGCGCGCCTCGTTTTGATTAGAAGTCTTATGAATGCACAGCCAGTGCCGAACCAAAAGTAAATTGAGGGAGAAATGATTTCTGGTTTATTTCGGGTGCTCTTTGGCTATATTTGATGGCTGTTATCGGCTGTTGTGATAAGCCCCTGCTTATGCATGGCTCAAATTGATATCAAAACTGATTTCTCGTTTGCCCAGGAATCAGAGTCCGAGTCTGCGATGAGCCGTCTTCTAGAGAAGCCGAACATTGCCATGTCCATTAAGTCAACGGGTAGTCAATTATCGAGCACAGTGGCCACCACCGCAACGGGTGCGGGCACTGCTGCTGCTGCTGCATCCGCAGACGTGGAGGACGAGGATGCAAGCGGAGCACATGATGTGACATCAGCATCGGAACAGCAATCATCATCAGTAACAGAAACACCCGCCAATTCAGTCAGCCCCAGTCCCAGCGGTAGGTCCAATGAATGCTGCAATCTCCTGCTGTTTGTTCTTAATTTGTGGCCCTTTTTTCGCCCCCACTTAGGGCGCACCAATACCAATGTCGATCAGGTAATCATCAGCCTGGTGTCTGGTGCGGCGGCAGGGGCTTTGGCCAAGACAGTCATCGCTCCGCTGGACCGCACGAAAATCAACTTTCAGATACGCAAAGATGTTCCCTTTTCGTTCCGTGCCTCGCTGCGGTATCTGCAGCACACCTACGCCAACGAGGGTGTCCTGGCCCTGTGGCGTGGCAACTCGGCCACGATGGCCAGGATTGTGCCCTATGCGGCCATACAGTTCACCGCCCACGAGCAGTGGCGCAGGATCCTGCAGGTCGACAAGGATGGCTCCAAGTGGGTGACACTACTGATTACTGATTGTCCTTCAGGCTTCCACTAAAATTTCTCCCTTTTCTGTTGCAGCACGAAGGTACGTCGCTTTGTGGCTGGCTCACTGGCGGGCATCACATCCCAATCGCTCACGTATCCCTTGGATCTGGCCCGCGCACGCATGGCCGTGACAGACAGATACACGGGCTACCGAACGCTGCGGCAGGTGTTTGCCAAGATTTGGGTAGAGGAGGGCCCACGGACACTGTACCGTGGCTATGGTGCCACAGTGCTGGGGGTGATACCCTACGCGGGCACCTCCTTCTTCACCTACGAAACCCTGAAGCGGGAGTACCATGGTGAGGAGTGCTTCCTGGATTGAAATTCATGGCTAAAACCTTTTACTTCAATTGCAGAAATGGTTGGCAATAACAAACCGAATACTCTAGTCTCGCTGGCGTTTGGTGCTGCGGCTGGTGCCGCCGGCCAAACGGCGAGCTATCCTTTGGATATTGTGCGCAGAAGAATGCAAACTATGCGTGTGAACGAAGCGAACAATGAGAGGTGTCCCACCATTCTAGAGACGCTCGTTAAGATCTATCGGTGAGAGAAGACCAAGCAGAATGTGTAACTTCTTTGATTTTAATCCACATTCATTGTGTGCTTCCACAGAGAGGAGGGTATCAAGAATGGTTTCTACAAGGGCCTCAGCATGAATTGGCTCAAGGGCCCCATTGCTGTGGGCATTAGCTTCTCCACCTATGACCTGATCAAAGCCTGGCTGAGGGAGTTGTCCCACTTAAAGCGTGGCCGGCTGGAGGATTAGCAGCAGCAGCAGCAGCAGCCCATGCCCATGCGCCCCCACAACATACACACACCAAAAAACGCACTGCTTTGTTCTTAAGTACGATGATCATATGATCCGATGATAAAGCTGCAGGAGGGGCAGCATGCTCTAATTGTTAGATATTTTTAGTTGTTAATTGTGGAGGAGAGGAGAAATTTGTTATTTACCATAATTGATTTATTATCTGCTTTAAGCCCAAAGTAATAAAACACAGTCTGCATATTGATTCGCCCTAAGCTCTATTCAGTGGCGTTACCTGGACAATAACTTACTCTTTTACTCCTAGACTTAATGATATATTGAAGATTTGTATATGTATCTATATTCCTAAAAAATTTGTCAATCTGCTTTCGTAAATTGTAAAAATTGCCATGAATTTATTAATGTTCACCAGCGAAATCATCTTATGCATAGATTATATATATACGAGTATATTGTATGTTAGTGTGTTTTTTATGATTATAAATAAATTTACAAAATTGTTTAAACATATTCTTTCCTTTACATGGCATTCAAACAGCGATATTTCATCAATCTATTAAATTTAATTTGTAATGTATTAAAGAACACATATTCTTCTCAAACATTCATATTCAAACTTAGGCGCGCAGCTCTGCAATACAGTCGATAGTATCGATAGCCGTTTTATTTTGTTCCGCAACTAAGATGGCAGTGCTTCGAAAGGTCAGGCGACAGCTGATCGCTGCTAAGTATCGATAGTTATTTTTAGTATGGGTCAAATGTGTTAAGGTAACTAGTTCACTTCGCACACTCCTGAATAGTTCCTTTTTGTTTTCGTTCATGAACCAAACTCTCACGTGTAGCTTCCGCACTTTTTGGTTTTTTGGTGTTATTATTAGACAAAATGAAGCGTTTATCTGACGAGCGTGCGAAGATTCTGTTCGAGAAGCTGAACAAATAGTAGGTAACATAATCCTTTGGTTTGAATGGCATTAACCAGCTTCCTTGCAGCATTGGGACAAATGTAACGCAGCTGATCGATCGGCCGGACGGCACCTACTGTTTCCGTGAGCTCCGGGATCGAGTTTACTATGTGTCGGAGCGGATACTCAAGTTAAGCGAGTGCTTCAGCGGCAAGCAACTGGTCAGTGTGGGCACCTGCTTTGGAAAGTTCTCCAAGACCAACAAACTGAAATTCCACATCACAGCGCTGTACTATCTGGCGCCGTACGCCCAGCACAAGGTGTGGGTGAAGCCATCATTTGAACAGCAGTACCTGTACGGCAACAACGTACCCAAATCGGGTCTGGCACGAATCACCGAGAACGCAGCACAGTACCAGGGAGTGGTGGTGTACTCCATGAGTGATTTGCCCCTAGGCTTTGGAGTTCTGGCACGCTCCACCACCGACTGCAAGACCGCTGATCCATTGACCGCAGTCTGTTACCACCAATCGGACCTTGGCGAGTACATACGCGCCGAAGACACGCTATTTTAGATGCGTAATATAAATCTATAGCTGTAATCATGTTTTAGTAAATAATAAGTCTTACGAGAATTTGAAAACACGAGTTGTCTGAGTTTTAATGGGAGACTTTGAAGAAGATTTTGTGCATTTAAATATTCCAAAAAAGTCGTGAAAACAATAGTGCAGCCCTGGTTCTTGGTTGGCCTCCAGCCCTGGTGTCCTTTCAACGCTTACCCAACACTGCCTCGCGAAAGTGGTAATATGTTTTTATTTTAGTGAGCAATATTAACTATTCTGGCAGCAAAGGAACTTGGCAGTGAGCGCAAACAAAGAGCACAGCTAACAGCTAGCAAAGGTCTTTCAATGGAAAAGCGGGTACATGCGGCTGCTATATGGCTGTTAATGCTGCTGCACGGAGCTGCTTTCGGTAAGAATTTATTTTGACAGGCGTATGGTGGTTCAATTCTACGGGTACAATGAGACGAATGAACGCCCGACTTTTGGCGTCGCATACACTTTGTAATTGTAGCCTGCTACTCCCACGTTTGGTTGACCTAAACCGAGGCATAAGGCCAGTTGACCAGTCAACAATGCTGACTCATCTAACCCGTCGTTTGTTTGTTGTTTCACCCCTTCGCAGCTCAAGGCGAACGTACGCGCGATAAGATGTACCAGCCCATTGTGGGCGCGGGCTGCTTTCGACGCTTGAATGGCACCCATCAGACTGGCTGCTCCTGTAAGTACTATATATTACACAGACTGTACAGAGTGCTCTTAAAGCATTTCATTTGTTTTGCTTTGTTGCAGCCACACACGCGGGTTCAGTGGGCGTGTTGCATCTGATTAACGTCGAGGCGGACTTGGAGTTTCTGCTCGCCAGTCCTCCGTCGCCGCCCTACGCCCCCATGATACCACCCCACTTGTTCACCAGACGCAATCTCTTGCGGCTGATTGAGGCCGGGCCCAGCAACATCTCAGTGGTGCTGCTGATCAACAAACCCGAAAAGATGAAACAGTTCTCGCACGAGCTGAACTGCCCGAATCAATACAGTAGTCTGAACAACAGCGAGACGTGTGATGCGAGCAATCCAGCCACCAGCTGGAATCCCTGGGGAACGGGTCTGTTGCATGAGGACTTCCCCTTTCCCATCTACTACATAGCCGACACTGAGGAAATCTCCAAGCTGGAGAAGTGCTTCCTGAAGTTCAACAATTTCAACTACGAGACGCATGCCCTGCGCAGTCTATGCGCCATAGAGGTTAAGTCCTTTATGTCGGCCGCCGTCAGCTCCGAGGTGTGCATAAGACGCACCCGTTTCATTAACAATTTGAGCGGCAGCAAGTACTGCGATCCGCTGGAGGGTCGCAACGTCTATGCCACTGTATATCCGCGCAATGTCTCGTCGGTTGAAGCAGAGGAAACTGAATTGGCTATAACCAGCGAAAAGTTCATATTGGTAACCTGTCGCCTGGATACCGCCAGCATGTTCGATGGCGTGGGTAAGTTCAGTATTAAAGAAGGTTTTCATTTTCAATAGCACTCCCTATGTCTTTGTGGACTCGTAGGTCTAGGAGCCATGGACTCTCTCGTGGGGCTGTCCATACTAACGCAGGTGGCCCATCTTCTCCGGGAGCTGCTGCCTCCTCAAAGCTCGCTGCCCGATAACCGGCGTAATGTTCTGTTCGTAACTTTCAATGGCGAATCCTATGACTATATCGGATCTCAGCGCTTCGTCTACGACGTAGAGAGATTTGCTTTCCCCAAGTCGTCCGCTCGTCGCAACCTCATCACGTTTGACAACATTGAGTTCATGCTGGACATTGGCACACTGGATGATATAGCGAACATCAAGCTGCACGCCCTGAGTGGCACGCCACTCGCTCAGAAGCTGCTGCAGCAGCTTAACAACTATGCCCAGTCGCCCCGCTATGGCTTCAATCTGAACATCCAATCGGAAATGAGCTACCATATACCACCCACTTCGGCACAGTCTTTCCTGCGGCGCGACCCAAAGTTTCCGGCCCTTATTTTGAATGCAAAGCCAGCCAATAAGTACTATCACTCCATCTACGATGATGCGGATAACGTGGTCTTTAACTATGGCAACACTAGTCAAGATTTCACATTGCTACCCGATGTGGGCGACACCAAGAACTTCAAAGCTGATTCTCTGCAGATGAAAGTGCGCAACGTGTCCTCCATTGTGGCCATGGCGCTCTACGAGACGCTCACCGGTAAGGAGTACACAGGGAGCAAGGTGGCGAACCCCGTGCTGGCCGACGAGTTCTTCTACTGTTTCCTGCTGTCTGCAGACTGCCCGCTCTTCAAGGCCGCTTCCTATCCAGGCAGTCCCAAGGGTCTGCCCATGCCTCCGATGCGGTAAGCTCGTTATTACAAGCTAATTTAAAACCATTCTAACTAATGCAATTTAAAGGTATGTAAGCGTGTTGGGCGGCCCACAAGAGTCATCCGGATGGACCTACCGAGTGCTGGGCTATCTGCTCTCGCAAAAGCAGCCAAAGATACCCAAAGACAACTGCACCATCTTGCCGCTGCACTACTTTGCCGGCTTCAACGGTGTCGGGGAGTGCCGTCTCACCACACAGAACTACAGCTCTGCCTTGAGCCCCGCCTTTCTGATTGATGGTGAGCTATACAACTGCAGTTTCATCGACCAGCTTATAATATCTGCGATCCGCTCCCTTTGCAGACTACGATTGGCGGTCGGGCAACTACTCTACATGGACTGAATCCACCTGGTCGCTGTTTAGTGCACGCATCTTCCTGCGTCCGTCCAATGTGCACCAGGTCACAACGCTCAGTGTCGGCATAGTGGTGCTCATCGTCTCCTTCTGCGTGGTGTACATCATTAGCTCGCGCTCGGAAGTCCTCTTCGAGGATCTGCCGGCAAGCAATGCCGCGTAAGTCTCATCAGCTGCATCATCTGCTTGCACCATCGCAAAACTGTTCATCAGCTTTTGCGGCCATCTCTCTCCCATAGACTCTAGTCTTTTGTCTTTTAATTTGTTTTCATTGTAATATTTATTTGAGCTTTATTGTTTTTAGATTGTTTGGTTGAGGTTGAACAACTGCCACAGCGACGTCATCATCATGTTGAGCGACTCATTCCCAAAATATCTGCATGCTAAACTTTATTCGACTGAAGTTTTAAGAGTAGTTAGCTATTAATCGGTCGATCGAACCACCTTCTCTTTGACACGTGTGTGCTCTTCTAGGTTACCGCCCCCGACGGCCTGTTAGTCAGCGGATCGCGCGCGCAGCCAGAAGATCTAGGCATAAGGAAGTCATGGGTAAAGCATCCACTGAAAGTGATCTGAAAAACATCTAACGAAAAGACACTAAATGATATTCTAATTCGTATAATTTAAACCATTAAGTGAACATTTATTTGTATGTATTTTTGTATTTTAAACGAGTAAATTAGCCTTTAGCGACTATTTTGTATCATATATACATATATATATATATATATAATAGACACTTAACCAATTGCGACAGCAAACACATACACATACACATCATCCATAAGAAGGAATGTTCGTTCAACCTTCTCGCTACCCGGTTCCCTGTCCCGTGCCCCGGTCCGCTTTGGATTGTATATAGAGACGAAACTATAAAAGATATAATGCAAATCTCTCTACGGATGCCAAGGAACACATGTCTGTACAAATATTGACAAGATACTGACTGCTGCTATCTAATCCTAAGTCGAGGGAGATATTTATACCTTCTGCATCCCTGCGATACGATACTATACTGAACTTAATGATCTGAAATCATAACTTCATAGAAGACATAGGCGAATAACTATTCTAATAACGACTTTAACTTATGTACGTTTAATAAATTTTGATAAGGTGTGAACTAAATGTCCAATTTAGTTGTGAATACAATGAGATATGCATTTAAAACCCTCTAAATATATACCCATCTCATTGGATTCATCAAGCTCGCCCTCCCGTGGTATAGATTGTTTGGGGTTAAATCACTCAACATGTTTCCTTTCACAGCGCTCGTTTTCACGTTTCCATCAGCCAGAGTTACATTTCCATCTATTGCGGTGAGTCACTCGTAAAATACTCCTAATATCAATACAAGTTCTCTTTAAAACCGATGTCTTCCCTCAGTCCAGTAGTCCGTGCTGCCGGAGATTGACAATTGAATCGGCAATGACGTGTGCGGAGGCCTTCGTATAGCCACCGCTGAGAAGCATGACCACCGGGATGCCTAGGGCACGGAAAGTGCTAAACACCAATCGGTCGCGCTCCAGGACCCCCTCGGCGGAGATGTCCAGGTTCCCCAGGGGATCCCCCTTGAGGACATCGGTGCCGGCATTGTAGATGACCACATCGGGCCGGAAGTCGGCCAGAGACTGCATCAGGCAGCGGCTGAGCTGCCGCAAGTAGTAGGCGTCCTCGGTCTGGTTCTGCAGCTCCACGCCGCAGCGTATGCTTAGCTTGGCGGCATGGTCTCTGGGGTAGATGAAAGCATTGTATATGTCCAGTATGAAGACAGTCTCCCAGTTGTTGAAGTCGCGCTCGTGCCCGTTTCCCTGGTGGGCGTCCAGGTCGACAATCATGATGCGGCGGACGCGGCAGGGCTCCTGCTCAAAGAGACGGACAATCAGCAAGGAGATGTCTGCGTAGGGACAGAAGCCGCCGCCCCTGTTCGAACAGCAGTGGTGGAAGCCGCCACCCAAGTTGATGGCCCAGCCATAGTCCAGGGCCAGTTTTCCGGCCAGAATGGAGCCGGCCGCCTGGAAGCGCATCGGACGCAGATAGGCCTGCTGCAGGTACTTGTTGGGAACGAAAGCCATCAGCGACACCTCGGCGATGCGGGCCACGTTCAGGCTCCACCGGAGTGAACGCAGGTACTCGCGGGTGTGAATGCGACGCAGCTGGTGCTTGGTGAGCTCCTCGGGCTCGTAGAAGCTGCCTTCGACCAGCGAAAGTTCGGCGCACAGAGCCTGCGGCAGAGAAGAGCCTGAGTGGCAAGCGTGTGGGCGGCACGGCGAGGCATACATACCTTGTGTATGTGCTTGCCCTTGGCCGCGTTGAAGGGGTGCAGGCGTTCAAGGCCATGGAAGCGCACTGCGTAGCTCTTTGAATAGACGATTGGCAGCTTGCCGGGGACCCGGGCGTCCTCCTTCCTGACCCATACAATTTCCTCTCGATCCATTACGTTGTGGTGCAGCACCCCCGGTCAATCCTTTCATGTTTTTCTCGACTGTAATTAAAGAAAGTGCAAGGAACACTTCCGTGCGACACCAGTTGATTTGCTACGCAGCTGGAAAATGCATTCACGGCCTGCCACTAGGGGTTGGGGGTCGAAAGCGGGCGTCAGCTGGCGCAAAGCTTCCGAAGCTAAGCGTTCTAGAGGGTAGCGGAAAGCTTATAAAGCTGTCACTGGAGGGGTAGGTAAAACAGCAGTTGCACTTTTCAAAATTTATAATTCACTTGGACGATTTTTAGGTATTTCCTTTGGCTCTTGGCCCGTACAAAGATACACAGGACGTGCATTGGGAGCCTGCAAGTCACGATACGTATTAATGAGACGCTTGCCACTGCGATCCTGCAGCTGCCAGAAGTTCTGCCACTACAAGAAATGGGAATCAGTAGCGATGCTGTTTTGGTGCCAGGCTATACTCACAATCTCCTTGGGTATGTCCAGGGAGTCCGGAAAGACAAACCAGTCCACTGTCTCATAGCATGGCGGTGTTGTAAGGGAGCCTATGAGACGGGAGGATAATATATAGGATAATATAATCTGCAAATCCCCAGAGAAGTGAACCAACCTTTGTAGGTGAAAAATGTATCCATATCGATGCCAGCAAACAGATCTACCAGTGAAATTTCAGCCTTCACTTGTGAGGAGTCGTAGCACTTTCTGAGCAGCTTGACCTCTTTGCAAATCTCATTCATGGCTGGCGACTCCATTTGGGGAACCTCCGGGCACCGCAGCATGACAGCCAGTACCACGAAACCATCTGGATGATGTACTGCCTCCTGATTGCTCTCGTAGGCGATGTTCTGTGGACAATGTGCAGCTCTCCGTCGTACCGCTGGCTGTCTATGGTGTGCTCCGATCCCTGGCTCCTCTCGGAGCCCCAGTGGAAGTGCAGCTGCTGTGCCAAATAGACCGTTTTCAGATTGGAGCCAGCGAGAGCGGGATTCTGTTTCTCAACTGTCTCTGAAATGTTCATGCGAACCGTGTGCCCGTTGTGTGTCAGGTAAGGCTTGTACAGGGGCTTCGTATAGTTGAAGAACACAAGCTGTCGGGCTTCGTGCCTAAGTGCCTTTGGGGCAGACCTTAAACTTAGTGTGTTGAAAGCCATTGAAGGTCCTTACTTCACTCTGGACTAACGGAATGGGAGACTGTTGTTTTCCGGGCTCCACCTGCCAATCCTTTCCCTGCTTATCATAGTTGAAACTGGCAGGATTTGGACTGGATAGCTCCGAGACCTTGGCGAAATATCTAACTACATGAAACATACAGACAATTTTGGTATACTTAAATTACGACCAGACGAGTAAGTGTTTTTTGGATACTGATGAATTTCAGAATTCGAAATTGCACGAATTTATTGTTGAGTATATTCGAAAAGTGTTCTTCATAGGGGAATTCTTGGATGCTCGGATTGATTTCAGATGGTTTTCCTATGGGCATATGAACAACTTTTTTTCCTCCAGCTCCTTGGCCTTTCTGTCGTCATGGTTCTTTTCGACGATGCGGTTGCAGCCAATATAAATGTGCTTGGACAGGAAGTAAAGGATTTCGAAGATGGCCACCATCGAAAAGCCCACAAAGATGGACATGATGTTGCCAATGGTACCTGAAAACCACAACATATGAAGGCCATATCTCTGAGGACAAGACTGGAAACTCACTGAACACCTCGAACCAGGCATTATTCAGCAATCGGATGTAGTACTGGGCATACTGATCGCCGAAGTAGACCCTCAAAACGGAGATATCCGAATCGAACTCCGTCTGGTTGTTGTCATCGAGCTTCAGGGTAGCCAAGTAGTTGTCGATGGGCAGGGCGCTCAAGGACACTCCATACAGGACGTCGTTGCACGAGGGCAGGCAGTGTGGACAGTACAAAGCCTCCTCGATCTCCCGCTCTAGACCGAATATCATATGACGCTCCGTCAAAACGTTGCGCCACTTGACTGTGGGAGAGATATTGGAGAGATCTGCAGTTGTTGGCGGAAGGCATCCACTCACACAAGTACTGATTGATGCAGGGTACATGGCCAAGGGTGCAGTAGACAACACCATCGAGGTTCTCCACCAGTTCGAGCGGCATCTGGAACGGCAGGCAGCGGCATAGGGCTATTATACTGCGAATCCGACACCTGGTCACACAGTTGGGAAAGGTGTAAGTGGACCTCAGCAGTCGTTGCTGTTCGCTACCGGAAGTCTGGGCCTCGTGGTCAAAGTAACAGTGTCTCTGGAACGGATTGAACAAAGTGAGAACCATTTCTGAAGGATGTGCAAATGCTCCTTAGCCGTACACCAAAAGGGGAGAAGGAGTTCAAGCTGTCATCGGTGTCCACGACTCGAGCGTGGATTTGCAGGGCAGTTTCCTCCCGCTGGCCGGGAAACATCTCCAGCGCATTCGAGGAGGTAACTGAAGCGTAGTTGTCTGCACTGTGGATGAGCACAATGTACCCGTCGGTGTTCAGGATTGGCGCAAACTGGTCCGCGTGGCTGGAGTTCAGAACAACAGTGAGACCGAGCTCTGCACTGGCCAGACGATTCTTGAAGTTGCGCTGTTTCAGTCTGCCGAGGAAACCCATTTAATTTGCTTAATTTGTTCGAACAAAAACGTACCTGTTCTCCATGTTGAACGTACAGCAGGGGCCGTACTGGGTGAGGCTCTCCTGGAAGGCGGCCTTGCTGAAGCAGGGAATATCCACATTGGCCAGTGTGCACTTGAGCACATAGCTCTGGCATTTGGGCGTCAGCTAAAAAGCCACAATTTCACAGATCAAATTATGTGGGGAAACTCTGCTTGAAGCTCACCAATTTCATGATGCGTCGGGTGTCGAAAAAGGTCTCGTTGTCCCAAGTCCCAAAGACGTCGAGAAACGTTTGAAAGCTGCCAAAGTCGTCTGTGTCCACGACGAAACCCACATGAACGTAGAACTCTCGAAGGTACAGCAGACGCTCCAGATAGTATTCCACGGGTCGACTTATTGGACTTTGGGCTTGTCTGTCCACAGGAATGATTTGAGGAATCTTATTGGATTTAGGAGATCAGTAGTTGGAAAACTCACAGCTCGGTCGCATATCTGATGGCTGCCACCCTGGAAATGCGATTATTGGAGCATATGGAGACCGCCGGAAAGGGCACATTCTCAAGAGGATAGAGCGGATCCTTCAGATTGGTCACAAAGGACTGGGCCACAAACTGTTCCCAGGTCAAAGATAACACCACGATTAGGGAGACGGTTGTGGTGGTGTGCAGCAACAGCCAAATCATTCTGTAGAATAGAAAGGAAGAGTCATCGTAACATGTGTATTTCCGCATCCCACCTTTGTCCTAGGGTTATATCTGGCGACAATAGTTTGTTGTATCCCTGCAGGGATATGTTTCGCAGCAGATCAGCCATGTCCAAGCAAAAAGCTGAGCCCAAGGATTTCTTGCGCTGACCAGAAGGTCCCTTGGTTCTCCTGGCTTTCGGATTCCTTGGGTTCTTAATCCACCATATGGCATTCGACGTGGCCTCCGTATTAACCATGTTATCGCTGTTCTTTAATGTTCTTCGACTATGTCTGCTGTTGCTGACTGCTTGTTGACGATTGACGTTTCTGTCATAGATTTCCATTGGAAACAAATATGGAAGGGGCGTGGCTGTTGTCCTTAATGGAAATTATTCATTAAAAGCTGCTTAATTAGTGTTAATGTGAGGGTACAATATGCCACTCATGATGTAAGGGAGGATAGAAAAGGAATGTTCTCCAAATTCGATTCCACAGACTTGACCAACAATTGGTAAGACTTGCAATAAGGGCAATAAAAATATATTTCTCAGCTTATTAATTTGATAAAAGATATGGGCATACTCTTTTTTTACAGACCAAATCTTTGCAAGTAAAAACTAAAAAGGTTCACTCTGAATAGTGTATATAAAAGAACTCCAATCAACACATCTTTTAGGTCTCTGAGTAGTTAACATTTATTTTTCCGATTTAGTAATACTTTCAGTATAGTTTCGACTCACTGCTTAAGTTACGACTACTACTATATCTTAGCTTATTCTAGAGTGGTGGAGTATTTCAGGTACTTCAGTCCACTGCACCATGAAAACCTGAGTCAAGTCTTGTACTCTTCTTAGCCATGAGAGGAGACTTCTGGAAGTTATCATTTTCCCACTGGCCAGAAGGGCTGACCGGGATAGTTTCTGGATCCAACGAAGGCGTATGGATTGGGATTGACCACTCGGGCAATGTCCGTGTAGCTGCGTCCTCCGCGTTGGGGTGAACCAAAGTATCCTCTGGCGGGAGAGCCGGAAGCCGTGGAGAGAAGGAGGACCAGGACGGCCATCAGGCTGAGAAGAAATCCTTTGGTGTGGGCCATTGCTGCTTGTGGAGATGGTGCCTCTGGAACTGAGCTGCAGTGTTGCCGCCGACTGTCCTATTTATATGGATCTGTTCGGATGGAGGTACTGAACCGATCGGTTCTTGCTTTTCTCAGCTGAGGGCTTATCAATCAGGTTTTGGCCCCACATTCGCATCCGAATGCGAATCCGAAAGAACAGACTGCGTCTCATTCTGCTCACGTAGTGTCCGTCGTCTGATCATTGTGCTTTTTACGATCGTTTTGTTTTCTCAATATTTACAGACACGCCGCCCCAAGCAAGTCATTCACACTGAGCGGAGCGGCCCGTTATCCGATCGATAGATACGAGAAGTACGAGTAGTTCCAGTGAGTCAGCACATCTATGCTCCGCACCTGATCTTGACTCTAATTGCCAGGTGAATGATTTGCCGGTGTGAGCACTCGCACGGCTAGACCCCAAGCCCAGCATTGGGACTCTCACTACTTAAATTCTAATTAACAACTCTGACGACTCTGACGGTAATGACGTACGTACATACATAGGTACGAGTAGGTGCGCCGAGTCGTATTAGCAAATTCTTGCATAAACATTTGCCATGTCTGGTGCAAATAGTCGTGGCATAACATGCTTCGACTCTTCCACTCTTCCTTCCTGTAATGTCAGCTTTTGGGTCGAGATCTTTCAGATCTGGTTTCTGTTTATCGCTTCCTCAATGCACCAAGTGCGCAGGGGGAAGTCCTAGAAACTGATTCACTTACTTAGCCTGAATCATGGGTACTTAAGTGGGTACATATAGGAGGCTATATATACCACACTTGTATGCCCTGATGATCCAGTCAGATGATTCCACTCCACTACACACCGTTTCGGGTCATTAAGATCATAAAAATTATTCAGTTCGGGGCCTGGGAAATGTGTGTAAGTCACTCGGTTAACGAAAATTTCTTGATTAATAAGGCGTTCTCAGAAATTTGTCGATGGGAAAGGGGCTTCTACTCTATGTATTATGCATTCCTATTGCAGAATCATTATAACGACGTCCATTGCAATGAATGAGTAAGATTTAATGGAATTTCCAGAAGGAAATCCTCCTCAGCAGATTTTTTGTTTGATGACTACTATACGAAATATTGAGAGATCAGTTTAAAGGGTCTTATAGAAATATACCTATCCTATTCTCATAAGAATAACTGAGAGATCACTTTCAAGTGCCTTCCAAACTTGTACCCGTATTCCCCATAGTGTCTCAGATCCGCATTCAAATACAAGTCTGAGCTTTCGAGGTCTTTAGAAACACTCCAATTAATTTTTCTAGATGGAAGATCTCCCCACTAGCATACCTCCCCTAGAGGAATGCACTATCCCATCTTCATATTCAAATGTTCTGAATAAATGTTAATCCAATGAGTGTGTAAAGTCCCATGGAATTACCAGACAGATCTTGGCTTTCAAGGTCTTCAGGTGTCATCAAGGGGAATGTACTGTAACTATCCCAATAACCGAGTGAGCAGCAGGGGGCTCAATCCAGCTGCAAACATCCAAAACGGAGGCACGACATCTCTCATTGGCATTTCCGTCACGTTCCTCTGATGAACACTGGCCGCTGGACGCGTCTAGTGTTGGAGTGCGAACAAGTGATCATAAATTTCTATAGACTACTATAAACGAATCACAGCCTCGCTCAAGTGATGCACATAACACGTTGAAGTTATAATTAATTGGCATAGCCAATTAGTAGATGGAACTTTCACTCTTTTTATTTCGAGATGATACATAATAGTGCTTAAATAACGAAAACCTAACTAATCTCAGCCCCAGAGGACTGAGAATGGAGTACGGGGCAGGAAACGGCTGCCGCCAAGACCCACGTAGCCATCGGGCTTCAGGACTCGGGCAATTTCCGAGTAGGTGCGTCCTTGGCGTTGCCCAGAGCTGGGTCGTCTTCCGCCTCTATAACCGTTCGACTGGTACGAGGGATAGCCATACCCATAGCCACCAGCGTAGTTCCCATATCCGTAGTTTCCATACCCACTGTTCCCATAACCGTTGTACCCGTAACCAGAGTTCCCATATCCGTAGTTTCCATAGTTCTGTACTCCTCCGGATCCCTTGTACTTCTTCCAACTCTTTAGGAACAAGGCACTGCCCCAGTCCAGGCAGCTGGCAATCAGCAGCGTGAGGATCATCAACAAGGGAGCTCGTATTCTCATGATGGATTTTTCTGTGCTCTTCTATCACGGATCGCTTCTAGTTCTGGCCGCCGATCTACGCAGTGCTCCTCTATTTATACCCTTGGAACGGAGTTGGGATCTGATTGGGAGCTATTATGCTGATGAAGATGGTGACACATTGCGGTCTAGCTGGTTGAAATGGTTTATTTTTCGAGCTCGTATTCCCATAAAAACAGTCGGGATCTCTGGAAGATCTGGGGCCAGACCGCGCGCGCACTGGTCAGAGTCGCGACTCAATGGATTATGCTGAATATATATGAGATGGATTGTCACGATCAGCATGCAGGGCACGCACCATGCGCCACGCACTGGAAGACCAAGCCAAGCGAATGGTAGATCGGCAGACCGGACAACGGACAGCGGACAGCGGACATCCCCATTCCACATCCAAAGCAATAACAAAGATCCAGAGATCATCAGCAGGCAAGACGAAGCACTTGACGCTTGAGTGGATGTTTTTTCGGCTTTTGTTTGTTTATGAAGATTATTGCCACGGTGATCGTTAGAGAGCGAGCGATCTCTGTGGGAGCTCTCTTCTCTCACCGCCAATGGTGGGACAGAGACAGGTTTTCAGTGATCGGTCAAGCATCCACGGTTATCGCATACGACGGAAAAAATTCCCCCCCACAGTTAGAATCCGCCTGTCGTAGTGCTTTGGCGATCGTCGGATCGCTCCATTACTCAATCATGACGCGATCTTCGGTTTCCATTGTATCCATCACCTGTATCGCCTGGCTCTGGGTCCGCACGTGCGGCGCTCAGTTCGCCTTCACCTCGGGTGGCAGTGCCGTCGCCTCTGCCGGAGGACTCACCGTGGTAGCACAGGTTCCCGGGTTCGGAGCCCTCAACGGAATCTTCAACAACAACAACAACAACAACTTTTACCCACAACAACAACGACAGCAGCAAGGTGGCGGAGGATGGCCAGGCATGGGCATGGGTGGACCGCATCATCGTGGACACGGCCATGGCATGGGCGGACGCGGCCCTCCACAATCTCCCAATCGACAGCCAGCCCCACCTGGCTGGCCTCCAGGCTGGGAATGGGGTGGAGGCGGCAACCACAATCAACCAGGATTCAATAATGGAGGAGGACGAGGTCCACCACCAAGACGTGAATGGGGAGGTGGTCCAGGACCAATGAATCCACCACCAAGGCCAGGATGGGGCGGAGGAGGAATGGGACCACCACCAAGACCAGGATGGGGTGGAGGAGGAATGGGACCACCACCAAGACCAGGATGGGACGGAGGAGGAATGGGACCACCGCAAAGACCCGCCTGGGGAGGGGAAGGAATGAATCCTGGATGGGGAGGTGAAGGCGGAGGACTGAATCCTGGATGGGGAGGCGAAGGCGGAGGAATGAACCCACCAACAGGTCCGGGCTGGGAGAACAACAGCAGCAACAACTATCCACCCAATCCCAGCGACCCCTTCACAAATTGGAACAGTCCCAATGGCGGAGAGTCCCCCACACCACCGCCACCGATCGTCACTCCTCCAACGACACAAACGACACCAAAGCCATCCGAGGTAGGGCCCACATTCCAGCCACGACCACCGGCACAGACCACAAAGAGCACCCTCATCGTAGGCACCAATCGGCCGCCCCTCGGGCCGCTCCAGCCCACGGCTGTGCCCCTGCCCACCGCCAGGCCATCGCCGAAGCCATCGCTGCATTCCATCGAGGATTCGCAGCAGCGCGACGTCATCTTCCCGAGCTCTTCGCGATACATCCACCGTCCGCCCAGCCAGGAGATACGCGCGGAGAACATCGATGTGCGGAGATGAGGGTCGGTGGGGGAGATTCTTCAGTAGAACATTTACAATTGTTGAATATTTATAGGCGTAATTATGCAACTCTCAGAGCAGCAGGGCTTCCAACGGGGCTCAAGATCGTCTTTGTGCGATGTGCGATCGGTGATCGGTGATCTGTAAACAGGTTCGGGAGCCCGTGAACAAAGACTCAGCCTCTGACTATTGACGAAGATTCACGAATTTTAATTTAATAAATTACACATTGATAAACAGATGGAGAGATGGAAATATGATTGGGATGACGGGTGGGAAAGTGATATTACAGGTGAACGCTAGTAACCCCGCTGCTTGTAGCCGCCAGTGGATCCAGGTGTTCCAGTTGATCCGATCGATCTTCCATATCCCTGGCTGTAGCCCTGATCTCTGGGTTGGTGCCCATGGGCATGGCCGTAGGGCTCCTGTGCCCTGTGAGGATAGTAGCCCGAAGACGGAACCACTCGCTGGGGGGGCGGATAGTAGCCATAAGCTCCAGGTGGCGGTGGCGGCGGTAGCGGAGGCCCCTGCTGGTAGCCGTAGCCATATCCTCCTCCGTAGTAGTAGTCGTAGCCCTGATCGTAGCCCTCGTGGATGAGGGGACCTGGTCCGTAGGCGTGTCCTGCTCTTGGGGGTGGTGGGTAGTACTGTGGCCGATCATCCAGCGCATCGATCAGAGCCCCGGCAATCTTGTCGAAAGTGGGTCGTGCTGTGGTTCGCCCCACGAGGAGTAGAACGACAATAGATAGAGACAGTCTCGCGTCCAGCTGCATCTTTGAATGCGCAGTACAATTTGCGATCTTCTCTGGCTTCTCCGCGATCTTTTATAGACTGCGCCAGATGGCGATAAGCAGCCTGAGTGGAGTAGAAGAACCTTGGACGATCTGCGAGTATGTACTCGTACATATAGCAATGCTGATTCCTCTGGGTTTCTAAGCAGTAAACAAGGTCGTCTGAGAAAGCTCTCCCTTTGTATAAAGACGATCCGAACAGTTTGTGATCTATGCTGTGATGGAATATCAGAAATATTTGGGAATATCCCCATTAATGTGTGGCTCAATCGATTGCAAATTAACATACATATGTAGGTCTTCTTTCGTTTAAAGATCTACGCTTTGAAAGACTCGATTTGGGGATTTCACAAGCAATGTTTAGACCCTCAATCGTTTCCAAGAATCTTTCATTCTACTCCTCTCATCCAGCTTTAAAAAACACTCAATGATGAGCTCTCTTATCAGGCCATTGAGCCCCCCAAGCCCATTGATAACCCCAAACACGAACTCGGCTGAGCGCGCATTTGGTCTTCTTTTTGCGCTTCAAAAACACGCGTCAAGAGCTTTGGCGGCTTAGTCTTGCCGTGACATTATGGCCTGGAGGAGTGGAATCGCATTCGCTGCCCTGACTGTGGCCCTGATCCTGACTGTCGGCAGTCAAGCCTCGCAGTTCAGTCGCGACGAGAGCCGCGAGGAGGAGGAGACCAACTTCAACCTGGCTTCCACCCTGACTGGAGGCATCCGCAGCAGTCGCCACCACCAGCGGGCGAATCTCAACTCGCATCTGTATCCCGATAGCGTTCAGCCGGGAACAACCTATGCCGGCCCCGGCATCGATGATCCACATGGTCACGAGCAAGGCGGAACCTCTTCTAGAGCAGGAGACTCCAATTTGATCGGCTATGTTGGATCGCAGTCTCCGCCTTTGCCAGCTGCTCACCCTGGTCAAGAGCTTCCGCCAGGAATTTATCCACCTCCTGGGTACCCGACCACAGGTCCTCCTCAGCCTCCCGTTCATTTTCCTACTGGAAATGCAGCCCATCAGTCAGGGGGTGCCGCCGCTCCAGGTCCGTACTATACACAGCCAAGAGCAGGCTCATATCCACAGCCAGGAGTAGGCTCATTTCCACAGCCAGGAGCAGGCTCATATCCTCAGCCAGGAGTAGGCTCATATCCTCAGCCAGGAGTAGGCTCATTTCCACAGCCAGGAGCAGGCTCATATCCTCAGCCAGGAGTAGGCTCATTTCCACAGCCAGGAGTGCCGTCCTATCCACAGCCAGGAGTAGGTTCTTTTCCGCAGCCGGCCGCTCCAGGGGCCTATCCCGCAGGATATCCCAGCTACGCCTATCCTGGAGTTTATTTGCCCCAATTCCCCGGCTATTTGCAGCCTGGGGCATATCCTGGCTACGCACCAGGAGCTCCTCCAGTGATTGTGCACCCTGGGGCAGCTCCTCCAGCTGGAGCTGGTGCTACAGCTCCTTCTTACCCACAGAAGAGCAGCAGGCACCACAGCCGATATCCGACGCACGATGCTCAGGATCCGGAGCACTGGGACCACAGGTTCTCCATGAACACCGAGTACAATGAGGATGGCGTCCACAAGGGATCCTTTGATGTCCTGAACAACCACAATGCCTTCGGGTATGGCAGCGGCTATGGGGGCGGCTACAATGGCGCCTTCAATTCACCGGCCTTTTGAAATAAAAGTCCTCCCATCTGGAGGAGAGGCGTAGTCATAAGTTGGATGCCAGCCGCAACACCCTCTGAGGCAAAGAGCAGCTGTTCTGTCTGCCTCTGAATAAACGTAATTTTTGCACACCCAGCACCCAACCCAATAGCCAACCAAAGTAATTTGCAATGTTGGCCTGTTCCCAGTTGCACCTTCAGGCGGACGACCGAGAGGCAATCAGGTCCAGGTCCGTAGCGGCCGAACCGGAAAGAAAGAAAGCAACATGCCTTCATCTCTCGATGGACATATATAGTATGTACATACATACACGAGTTGTTGTATCCATGCACACAACACATTTTAGTTATTTCTTGCGAGAGGACACAATGGAACAGGAACAGGGAGCGAAGCTACCTGACGAGCAGGCTGCCAAAAAGGGAGCGGGGCACAAAGGCAAGAAGCAGCCGCAGCCGTAGGACCAAGAAAGGTGGTAGAAAATCAACGTCAGAGGCAAACACTGAGGGACATGCCAGACAGATCGACAAGACAGACAGAACGACGGTGGTGCCCTTTTCAGTCTCGTCTCAATTGCAGCGACAGAAATCGGTTATGTGTGCAGCGGATTGGGACTGGAACGGGAAACAAGGACCGAGAACCGAGAACCAAGAACCAAGAACCCTCCGACCGTGATGTCTTGCGGCGCATGCGCAGCCTGCCGCGCAAATCCTTAACAAATTTTGGCGCTAAAATGACAGACGACCGCGCCAAAATCAGAGAACCCAAGGAAACCAGAACTGAGAGTAGAACTCACACAAACAAAGAGACAGTCATACATAGATTATGGGATGGGCAATAGTTTTACCTGTTACAGATCGAACCGAACCTATTTCTAGAGAGAGTTTAATGTCCCTTTCCGCTGCCATCAGCTGTTCGTGTTCATGGCTGGAAGATCTAAGGGATACAAAATTACATAGCTGAGAAATGGAATAGAGCATGGAAGATTGTGCACTCACCCCTAATTGAAGATCTTTCTGCTTTCAGCTGGAGGTATTGAAGAGATCTCAGCTGATCAATGGAAACAAAAGAAAGGACATAATTTAGTTTGGCTTTAAAGAAAATATTAGAAGAGATTATGCGTACCATAGACATTCCGCCAGAATCAAGCATCTCCGCATTTAAGTTTGAGTACTTGTCGTCTCTTTCCATGCTCTCATATATGTATCATATTTATCTTCCGAGATTGATCTATTACCACCCGCATTTGGGACACATTTAGTTGGTTATTTTTCGAACGGACACATATGTGGTAAATGTTTATTGGTATTCTGGGGTACATACATAACATGGAGTGCGATACATACATAACTAGTTATTTGGACAATGCCAATGGCAGAATGCAATGTCATCATACATGGAGTGGCGTAGTGGTGGTTATGGGAGGGGGTGGCCGCGAGTCCATGAATGGCTTAACAAAAAACGACAGCATTAACAACATATACATAAGAATACACATAGTAGGATGCGATGAGGGTTGATGGTTCTGTTAGCGGTGCGCGGTGCGCGGTCCGCGATACGCGGTGCGTTTCCAGGTTGTACAGGACACACGTGCCTCTGTTAGTTGTTAGTAGAGCTGTCCTGGGAATACATAACTCATATGGCGATCCATGTCTGCTTTGGTGGCTTACGATATAGATTTATTAAATGCTGGAAATATCTTACATCATAAAATAATTTGTTGCGTTTTGCAGTAGAGCTGTTGGAAATGATCACTGATGACTAATGGGATGAAATAGGTCTGATAATAAGATAGATAGAGTATATAAAAAATAAACTGAACAGTAAAACATAATTTAAACAGAGAGCGCTCCTTACATCTTATTAATGCAATGCGAACAAACACATGATTATAAATGCAAAGGTCACAATAATAATTAAATAAAATATATAAGCTTTTGTGAGAATGGGCCAGGGACAGGGAATGGGGGAGGGACATTGGACAGAGATGGGGTCAAAGGAAGGGGGGGATGGTGGTTCCGTTGTAGTCTTTTTTCCGAGGTGGGTTTTGCTGTTTTTTTTTTTTGGGGCTGAAGCGTCTTAGAGCCTAACTGAAGCGTATAATGGTGCTGCTCGTTATTAATTTGGCTAGTGTTTGAGGTCCTACGTCCTACGACAGATTGCTCGCGTTCAATTCCACATCGAGGTTGTTCTGGAAGAGCTCCTGGTTGCTGAGCAGGGGCACCTTGGCCACCTCGTGGAATATCTTGTGCGAGTACTTGTTACGTATCGTCTTGATGGTTGCCCGCGGCTTGCGATGGAGTCCGGCATTCAGGACGGGCACGATCTCTGCAAAGTCCGCCAGCTGGAAGCCCGTGTAGTGGACCAGAGTCGAGGTCCAGGTCTGTTGCTCCAGGTTAGCGACGCCGGCGTGCATGCGCAGGGCCATGTAGAGGGCGGCCGATGCCATCTGCGAGTCGCTGAACCCAATTGTTGCATAGTCCATCAGCGACAGCTCCAGGATGTAGCGAGCCAGCGTTAGAGTGGGCATCTGGACCTTGGCACAGCGAGCGTAGCGGCGCAAGAAGCGGTAGGACAGAGGAATTCCCAGATCGTAGTTGATGATGCGCAGCGTTTCGCGTTCCATTTTGACCAGCTCGTCGTGGTTGTAGGCCCCGTCGCAAATGTACAGAAAGTCCTCGATCAGGGGCGGCTGGCGCTCGTCGTACTTGCAGGCAATGAAGAAGGCAGAGGCCCCCAGAAGCTGTAGCTTCTCCTTGTTGATCACTTCGCGGCACAGATAGAGGTCCACGATCTTTACAGCCAAATAGAGGGTCTCGTGGTTGAGTTCGAACGTCTCCTGCACCTCGACCATCCAGTCAACCAGCAGGGTCCGCATCCACGTGGTCAGGTGGATCTGTTTTGGCATGTAGTCCTCAATGGGGAACTCCGGCTCGCGTGTCTTCAGATAGTTGAAGATGTCCATGGCGTAGTGCGAGACCTGGAAGGGGTCGTCCCAGTTCTTCTGGTCAAAGTCCTCCACGTCGTGGGGGACGGGCCGCAGCGGAACCACAGGCGCCAAAGCAGCAGCGGCAGCTGCTTTTGCAGCCTCCACAAGGGGCTGTTCAGTCTTTTGTTGGAATTTGGCAGAGCGACGACGCGCCGCCTCAAAGTTGCCCGAGAGCCGCAAAGAGTCGCCGCAGGTGGAGACATCCTCCAGGGCTGACATATATAAGCTATCCTCAGTCTTGTTAAAGTCGTTGGAAATGCGACGCACCGGCTTGATGGCCATTCCTTGAGCCTGGGCTTGGGGAGCGGCCAGACTCTGCATGGGAGGCGGCAAGACGGGAATCTGGACTTGGTTGGGATTGGGGACCTCCGCTAGAACGGTCTTCTTGCTAGGCACTGCCTTCGGGCGCGGCTTGGGGCGAGCCAGAGCCTCCTCGATCTTGTCCAACACCTTGTGGCAGTTCTCCACCGAATCGTCTGTCTTGGTTGAGGCGCGAGTCATGATTTTGTTGGTGGCAAACGCATTTACACTCAGGTTGTCATTGTTCTTAGCATCTAGCAGGGCCTGCAACTGCTGGACCGTGGGCTTCTTGGGCCCCAGCTGCTGGTTGGCATCCTCCTCGCCCTGATGCAGCGTCATGATCTTTACATTGTTGGTAAGGTTGCCCAGGGCAGAGCGTTTGATCTTTTCATTCTTGATCGGACTGTTGTCGGCCTTGCGCTTGCCCCGCGTCTGCATGTTCTCCACGTTGGGGTCAATGTTGCAATTGTTGTTGTTGTTGGCGGCCCGACGGCTCAGACCCTTGCGTGCGCCTGTGACCCCCATGGTGAGGAGAGAGTTCATGGCGGCCTGAGTGGTTACGGTGGTCCGGGTTGCCTTTGTGGGCGCCATTTTGTAAAAGCCTGTGTTTTGTTGTTGTCACTTTTAGTCCTCCAGCAGATTCTCGCTTAGCGCTGTTATTAGTGGCGTTGATCGGTCCTTGGCACGTTTCAGATACTGTTTCGAGTTTGCTTACTTACGACGATTTGATTTCTTGTTGTTTTCAAGGCGTCGCTGGCACACAAACTCACTAATAAAGTTTTTTCACCGGGAGTAGGACGCTTGGCCCACTATGATCATAACGGCGCTTGAAAAGATAAAGAATACGAGAAAATCGAAAAACAGCGCCAGACAAGAAAGACGCTTCTGGTAGGGTTGCAGAGATGTATATATCGATATATATTTTTGGTTGACAATATATTTTGCTATGAGCGGTCTTGGAGAGAGCCGATAGTCAGGGCTGGAGAAGGAAAAGAGAGCGGCATCTGTTGTGGATACTGGTGTGCAGTGACAGAGTTGCGTGGGAGAGAAGGAGACGGGACGAGATCGGGAAGACGAGCGGGACCCTGAATATGAAAAGGCAGCGCGCGAAATTGAAAAGTGGTGAAATTGAAAGGGAGGGACCACGCTAGGGATAAAAACATCAAGTATCCCCGCTGACGAGAGTGCCAACGAGGACAAGTCCGGTCAATGTGCTGGTTTTGTTTTTTGTAAGTTTTGTTTGTTTTTGTTCATCCGTCTCCTGGTCTATCGGGTCGGAAACACCCCTGACTTCCCGGTGAGCTAGCTGTGAACGATAGGCCAGGGTGGTAAATCAGCGGTTCGTAGCAATTTGTAAGTAATCTTGAATAGGACTGGCGACAATATTAATAAATGTCCATATTTTGGTGTATGTTATTAACGGAAACTACTTTTCTGAGTTCACGTACTTGCATTCTTTTGTTGTTTAACAGCTTTAAATGAGATATATTTTAAATTCAAAATGAAAGACATACATACGTATTTGAATAATTGGAATTAAACGTATTGGTGGATACACGTATTGCAGTTTATTAGGCTAATCACAGTTGAATAATTAAATACTATAAGCAGGCGTTTACTTCCACAGCTTGATGACACCGTCGCGCGATGCCGACGCTATGTAGATTTGGCCCTTGTCCTTACACATGAGTAGGTCGGTGATGGCGTCCCGATGGCTAGCCGTGGGCATGTCTGGCCCGGATCGGGGATTCTCCTCCGTCGAAGTTCGAAGTTGTTGGGAATCGCCGGTGCCCATGGAAATGACTTGCTCTTCAATCACCTGGCTGCCGTCAATCAGGCGGGCACTGAAGAATCGTAAGAAGATTAAAATAAAACAATTACCTTATAAGAAAGCATTAATTCTGGTCACTTGCCTGTAGTTGAATGCCACATCCGTCAGGTTATCATTGGCCGCTGGCACCTTGAGCGAAGAGTTCTTTGGCGATGCAATGTCCCAGTACCGGATGCGCTGATCCGAGCTTCCTGTCAGAATGAAAGGCGCTCCATCCACAACTCCGCTGAGAATGCCGCAGGTTGTGGCCGGATCATTTAGACTGGTGTTGGTGAGCACGGGGGCGGGACTGGCCCACAGGACCGTCTGTCGTTGACCCGTCTCGATGTTCCACACGGACACCTCGTTATTCGACTGCGAGGCTGAGATCAGATACGACGGCTCTGTGGGATGGCAGGCCACCTTTCGGATCCACGAGTCTGCCGGGTGCTTTATCTCTGCAATGGGCAAACGGAATCGCAAATCCCAACAGATATGCTTGCCGCCGCTGGTGCCTGTAGCCAGCCAAGAGCCGGTGGGATCGGCACAGATTGTGGTGATGACCCCGTGCCGTAGCTCGTTCTGGAGCCGCCAGGCACTGTGCTGCATGCGCGTGTCCCAGGCCACAATGCCGCCATAGAGCGTGGCATACACGATGACGCTCTGAGTGGCCTGGTCGTAGGCATGCATGTCCACAACGGGTCCATCGTTGTGTTCGCTAGAAGGAAACATCCAGGCTGTTGAAAATATCAAATAACACTGAACACTGATGCTTACTTCTGCTCCAGAGCCTGCTGCAGCGTCATCTTGGCCGAATTGCGATCGATCCGCATCATCAGTAGGCTGCCATCCTTGCCTCCCACGGCCAGCGACTGTCCGCTATCGCAGGCGGCCAAGGCATAGATCGGGGTATTGGCAAAGTACACCTGACGGGACTTGTTGATGCCTTGGTTGCCGTTCAGCTTGCTGCAGTCCCACAGCCGCACGGTGCCATCGATGCTGCCACTGGCGAAGAGTGAGCCATGTGGGCGCAGTGAAGCCAGCTTGATTACAGACTCTGAATGTTCGTGCAGATGGGCCACTAGGGTGCCATTGAGACGCCAGTTTGGCGGATAGGGCGTCACCAGCTTGTCGTAGCTGCAGCGCTGCGAGATGGCCAGCACATTATAGCGGCTCTTGATCTTCTGGGTCAGCGTTTCCAAATCTTTGCGGCACTCTGAAGAACGCTCCAGCCAGCCGTTGCGCTCCGGCATCGTGTACTCCCCCAAAGAAGTGGCTGCACTGACAGTAGTGGGTGGCACGCCCAACGCCATACCTCCAGTGGCCGGACTTCCAGCCATCCCTCCGACCCCCAGAGGAGTGGACACGGCATCGGACGCTGGCGACACCATGGCCGGAGCATGGGTCTCGTTGGATCCTGCAATGGTATGGGAATCAGTGAATATTCTGCTGGAAATGCGGCGACTTCTAGTCGTACGGTTCTCGGCAGGCATTTTGATGGCCTTGTCCGCCAGCGGATATTCATGACAGGCCACCTGCTTGCGGCTGACCACAATGCGTCCATTTCCTGAGGCGGTGTCGTCCAGATCCTGTGAGGCCTTGTGTTTCAGCGCTATCAAGAAGGGCTTCATAGCCAGCAGCTGGATCTCAATTAGGTCGGTTAATCCTTCAGAAGTGAGGCGTCGAAAGAGCTTAAATTCAAAAAAAGTTGGAATTAATAGAGATTGGACACTAATCTTCAAATATAACTCACATTCCGCAGCGTCTGTCCCATGTCGTCGTATTGGGGCAGCGCTCCGTGTCTTGTCTGCTTGCGTACTCGAGCACGATCCTCGAGAGCGCCCAGGAAATGATGGATATCCTGAAAGCGCAGCACACTGTCGAAGATCTGCCTGGGTATGGGGGGCTGCACGCAGTCCAGCAGAATGTGCGCCTTCTCCACTTGGATGAGCGGCACCTTGAGGAAGGCGCCAATTGCTGGCATAATCTTGCACTGCACATCGATGGCGCTGAGATTGCGTGCCGTGGTGGCAATCATGCCGCAGATCTCGTGTCGCACCCACAAATTGGGATGGCAGAGATAGCAGGCCGTCTCCTTGACAATCTCCGTGACAGCGGGCTTCTTGATGTGGCCGAGCTCAATGAGAATGGTCACGGCTCGTATGGCCTTGGCAATGACGAACTCCTCGCGATCCGTGAATCCCTGCTGCAGCAGCGGCACCAATATGTCCGAGGCCTGCCAGCCCACGTAGCCTGCCACTCCGGCAATGTTGTCGTAGAAGGCTCCTCGCAGGTTCTTGTCCTCGTCGTTGAGGAAGGTCATGATGTGCGATAGTATCACATCGTTGGCCTTCTCCTTGCCGAAGAAGGCGCACAAGTCGCAAATGCCCGACTCCATCAGCGTCTGCTTCACAATGGGCTGCGAGTCCGTCAGCAAACTGAGCACCGCCTGCCGCACAATGTCATGCAGGGCATTCAGCTCCGCCTCGTAGCGTGGCGTGGGCATCTCATTCGGAGCGTTGCGCTGCGTCTCCTCCAGGAAGTAGACGGCACTCTTGGCCAGCGCTGCAATGTTCCGGGCAAAGGCCACGCGCACAATCACCGCACTCGATTCGCTGGCCAAGTCCGTGATGTAGGGTAGAATGTACTCGGGAAAGACGTTGGCATCGCTGCGTGGAATGTCCTTGACCATGCTCAGGCAGGCAGTCAGCGTCTCGATGGCCTGAACCTGAACCTTGGCTGGCGATTTCTGGGCCAGATTCAGCTGTAATCAAGTACGTGAAGTATAGAAAATTTTGAGATTTAAATATTCTTACAATGTAGGGCAATATGCGATCCAATATGGTTTCCGATGTGGTGTACTTGGACAGCTTCTGCAGCAGCTCCAAGGCGGCAATCTTCGTGTTGGACTGCTTCAGACCCCGAATGCAAGAGGTGACCACCGTAATGATCAATATGAGGCCATCGTGCTCTGGCGGCAGACGGCCGCACATCGTGGGATCCTTCTTCTCCTGCTCGGCATCCTGTTCGTCCTCTTCGGGCGTCAGGTCCTGTGCTTGGGTCAAGACCTTGATGCAATGTCCAATGTCCTTGTGCAGGCATTGGATCTTGTCATCCGGCGACATGATGGGCGTCGAAGAGAACATTTGCAAATAGGACTGAAGGAACGAGTAGAAGTATTCGGGGAACAGCTGCCCGCGCTCCTGATCTAAGTAGTCTTCGGCGCTCTTTCGATTTAACGCTTGAATATCAATCATGGAGGCCAACAGATTGCGCAGCCTCTCGTTCTCGATCCCTGCCAAATGCTTCTCCACAAGATCGCGTTCGCCGCGCCTATAGGCCAGCAGCTGGGACAGCTCAAAGGGAGCAGTTCCCTCGGTCCAGAGTTCCAGCAAGGCGCAGCTGTAAAATCATCATGAATAAAGAGTCTTCCATTCGGGTCGTCAATCGACTTACCCCGCTGAGAATATGTCCATAGCAGGGAGCAGAGTATTTCCTGCATAACTGGGCGCCAGACGAATTATGGAGTCCGTATGGATCACCGACATGTTGCCATTGTTCCCATCATCGTCCGATGCCAGGGTCTTCACGAAGCGCTCTGGAGCAATGTAGCAAGTGCGCCGTCTGCTCGTATCAAAGAAGTACGTGTAATCGGCTGGGTTATCTTCCGGCAGATATGTGGGCTTGAACGAAGCGAAGTCCGAGAGTAAAATCCAGTTCCAGGAAGTGATCAATATGTTCTCCAGCTTTATGTCGCCGTGGCATATCTTTTGCTTGTGGC